TTTATTATATATATATATATATATGTCTATATATATCTATCTATATATATATATATCTATATAAGATTTATATATTATATATAAACATGAGTTCGACAATCTCATACCTCCATGACATGTCTTTTGCTTTCGTAAATCTTATGCATGGTGATGACCACCTGTAAATGGTTTACATATACAATCCTGCTCATTAGCAAAATTTTTATTTGCTAATAATTCACATAGCCTCTACCTAGTAACATGCAACACACTGGTGAAATCCTTATCATTTGGCATGGACAACGTATGATGTTGTTGGTTATACAAATGTATGCAAGCACGACCTCTGAGATATCTTTGCCAACTCATGTTTGCCTTCCAAAGTAATTATACATTTTTCACTGCAAATATGCAAATTATATGAGGCCATTTACATATATTGTATCAGTTGATCATACTCTCCACCCAATGACATGGTTATCTTAACAAATAAGGCTATTCTACCGTTTCCTCATAGATTATGCAAATGGTCCTGATTTAAATAAATTATGTTTAGTGATACGTTGATGAAGATTAGACATCCAGGTAAACGATACTCGTAAGAAAATTCAAACTCTACTACTGGATCAGTGAACGGATTTATTTCCGGACGTTTCGAGTGACATCCATCACTCTTCTTCAGCGTCACAAATGAACAGAGAACCGATTCACTCTTATATACAAGTAACTAGAAAAACCGGTTAAACAACAAGGTCCGTAAGAAGCTTTATCATGTAAAAGAACGGTTCACTCAATGTACAGGAATTAGAACTAGAAAAACCTGTTCAACCACTCGACAAGAAGAACACTACCAACATCACCATCCCTTACATCGAAGGAGTATCGGAGAAACTGCGACGCATCCTCCAGGGCTTCAATATCGGCACCAACTTCAAACCCTATTCTACCCTAAGACAGAACCTGGTTCACCCCAAAGACCGCGTACAGAAAGGCATCAAGTCAGAGGTGATCTACAGACTCAAATGCGAGGAACCTAACTGCAATGACACCTACATCGGGGAAACCAGCCAACCCCTGAAGGAGAGATACAAACAACACTGCAGGGCTACAGCAAGCGGCTACTCTTCTGCTATCTACCATCACACCAAACACAACCAGGGACACTCTTTCAAGCTAGAAGCAACCGACATCCTCGACCGTGAACCACGCTGGTACGAGCGCGGAGTGAAGGGGGCCATCTATGAGCGCATCTACAACCCCACCCTGAACAGGAAGGGGGGACTGCGCATAGAACTCTCAAGCACATGGAATCCCGCCCTGCCACAGCCCAAGGGACAGTAACATTTCCTATGGTAATTCTTACCATAGGAACATTCCTTACATGACAAAGACTCTTACGGTTGTTGAACAGGTTTTTCTAGTTCTAATTCCTGTACATTGAGTGAACCGTTCTTTTACATGATAAAGCTTCCTACGGACCTTGTTGTTTAACCGGTTTTTCTAGTTACTTGTATATAGGAGTGAATCGGTTCTCTGTTCATTTGTGACGCTGAAGAAGAGTTATGGATGTCACTCGAAACGTCCGGAAATAAATCTGTTAACTGATCCAGTAGTAAAGTTTGAATTTTCTTACGAGTATGTTTAGTGATGTTAACCTTCACTGAACTTTCCAAGTATTAAATTCCCAGCAGTTACCACCATAAAATTGTACCAATTTGCCATTAAAAATGCAAATTTGATCTTCATTTACATAATCGACATCTGCCAATGATCTTGTCGTTCTCAATTACATATGTCTAAAGAGTTTTATAGCCCTAATATGAAATAAGCAAATCTATAGAATTTTCTCAATAATTATGCAAATTAGATCCTGCTTTGCATCATTGAAATCTAATCATGTCAAACATGAATTAAGCTACTTACATACCAAAAATCATGACGATCCACCAAACGGTTGTTCATCAGTTATCCACCCTCGAAGATTTTCAAAGAAAGTCCACGTGACTCACGTGGCTTCTTCCCGAGGACAAGAGCTACGTACCATCCAAAATTCACGACCCTAGCATGTCTAGATCGCGAGATATCAAAACCGGAAGTTGCGCTGCAGTACCAAGGAAAGCCACTAGGGGGACCAAAATCTAATAATTTCCAGTTTTCGTCACACCCTACCAACGCACCGAGTATAAAACCGATCCATCCAGGCGTTCTTGAGTTATCTTGTTGACCAACTGACAGACGGACGGACAGACGGACAGATAAACGCAACTGAAAAAAAAAATAATCTCCATGACAAGTCATGGAGGTAAAAATCACAAGACGTGGTGACGGCACATTCAAGTTTTTTTTTGGCGACGCCTCAGGGGCGGAGCCCTTAGTATAGTACTGCGATTGAATTGCCAGGAATTCTAAATATTCCACGCACGCATTCCCTAGGGAATTCATTTTTGGCAACACCTTTGCGGGNTCGTACTGAGTCTCTATCTCGAACGTGCCGACGTCAAGACTTCCTATTTCTATCCCGTCGTGCCAAGCCTTGACCTTTCCGGTAGGGTAGCTGTACGTCGCGCCGACGAAGTTCCACTGGTTCAGATTCAGTTTGGCCGGGTATATGGAATCCGTCAAATCGTGGTACGGGTCACCATTCTAGCAGGAAAGCAAATGGAAGCATAAACTCATAGGTTCATTCATAACACACGTTTGTTCATGTAATACTTAGAAGATCCTAATATGAATTGTGCTATATGTAATTATTATGTGATGACTTCATGAAAAAAGAGGCAAAATTTTTGATATACATGTTATTCTAAAATTTACTATAAAGTATTAGGTAAAAGCATTAAATGTAAGAAATGCTAGACAAGTACAAAGTACAAGGTAATGTTTGCTTGTCAGCTTGCATCCATATAGCAATATTTATTTTGCTCATATCATAGTATATGAGCTCATATCTCCACCAGCAGTTCGCAAAATATCAGGATATCAAGAAGTAGGCATTACACCCACCGTACAATGTTGGTCTCCTTTTTGTTATATTTATCTTTATTTTTCCCTATCTATAATCCTACGCTGAAACACAAATAGTTGAATCACCTATTGTTTTGTATTGTCTGTATGTCTACATGTAGGTTTTAGACCCTACGAAAGTCGTTTACTTTTTTTTTCATTAAAACATATAACAAGAAATACAGACACGATGGCGGCGTGCTCAAGTTAAACTAACTTATATTTAGCGCATATATTACAATTATATTACTTTTGTTGTGTCAATAAAGTATATATAATGTAACGCAAACGGTCTCTTTCCTTACAAACAATTTGTTTGTTTCTATTTGCCAAAAATGAACGCCGAATTCGTTGATTCTGTAGTTAACGATGGGCCCAGCTGTCCCTGTGGGGTACACGTAGGCCAGTATCGTTACCGAATAGCGGGTGTCCAGTATCCCGTTGTTGGGGATCTCGATGTAGGAGGTGCTGCTACCGGAAAAGCTGTACGCCCCTTCGCTCTCACCGTGTACACCGTTCCCAAGGGACACGCCCACACCGGTTGCGTCATTTCCGTATCCACTGACGTCACGCAGCTGGGTGTGCCTGTTTAGCGGCCAGAAGCCCACAGGAGCAACTGTGGATATAAAAATATGCAGCAAAGTTTATTATTATTTATTAAAAACCAAAACCCATGACAGCCTCACGGCTAAATTGTGAGGTTTGTACAACAGTCACTACAATGTTACACTTATTGTATTCAGAAATACCTTAAAATCGAAATTACTACTTACTACATTTAAAAATCATGATACTAAAATATGTAATACATTGTACATTTTTAAAAGCATTTTTGATTTACTACCTAACGTCGTTGACCAAAAACCAAGATGGCGACCCATATCAATAGATTAGGTACGTATACACAGTTTTTTTTTCTAAAAATTTTATTTTTAAACTTGCATTTGTTTAAAAAAAGTTCATATGAACGTCTTTAGTCTGTTTGCAATGTATTTTAGGCTTTATCCTAAAAAAACGTTTTTTTTCCACATTCAAGATTTTATGATCAAAGATGGCGGATAGCTTACATATGCCTGACGTCATTTTATGACGTCATCGGTGTTACTATGGGGCAACATAAGTCTAAGTACACCCTAATATTCTGTCATAAACACTTTTGGTGAAGTTATGTTGTATACCATTAAGTTTTCAGGGGAATAACCTATCTAGAGGTTTTTTGCCAATAAAATCGCATTAATGACATCATATTGACGTCATTTAACGTCATAAGGACATAAAAATTGTAGTTGCGATACTATTTTTACTAGTACACCATTGTTTAGAAAATTTGGTGGTCATACAATGTACCGTTCGCGAGTTCTGATGTGAGGGGCGAATGAGACCCCCCGCGTCCCACAAATGTCAAAAAAAGTTAAGGTAATGAATCCAGGCAGCATGCTAGCAGTCTTCTATGAATCCGCGTGTATTTTAATATTACCATCATCATAATAATATATATTCAAGAGGCACGATAAACAGTGATCTAGAGCGAAAGTGATGTCAGTACCTTCTCCGACGTCTGCCCTCATGGCGACCCACCCAGACCACGTGACGGGGTGAAACTTGACGTAACGGGCGTGAAAAGGTCCGCTGTACTCGGTCAACACGTGCGTAACCAGGCTGTCTCTGTCACTGTTACCCGTGAAAATCTGAGGAATCAATACAACATGGTCTTGATTCGGTCAACTTTCATTTGCAGAACCAAATGTTCATGAGTCCATGATTTAATACATATCATTTATTTTGTCAAACCCTTATTATCTAAGTATGCACCAGGTATGAAGCTAGTTTATGATATTACTTGTCATGTACGATGTCATATTGTCAGATTCAAAGGGCACGACCTTGAACTATAAGAGATTCATCACGTAAATGATTTTTTTTATTCAAACATTTATTAAAAAATGGTTACGACACACTCATGTTTTTTAAATTATTTTTATGTCGTCACCAACAAACAAAAAGGAACAACAAATTCAAATTTTTATGTATTTTTCCCAAGGGCACACTATTGGTGGAATGGTAGAATTAGAGCTCGGGGATGTTTGCTCTGTTCTTACGCCACACGACCCCACATAATTATCTGCGTCGTGACATTATGATGTGAGTTGGCGAAAACGGTTATAAAAGATACAACTAATGCATCATTTGTAGGATGCATGCTACTTTGACGCCTTTTTTTAAGCAGACCGTGTCAAAACCAACCATCGACGAGGGTTTCAGGCGGTAATTTTGATAACACGACATCTGAATGTTTTACGGCAAATGCACGACTATCTCAAGAATGCCTTACAATTAGAGAATTCAGATCGTACGACAACCCGGTCCTGTCGTTATACATGAATCATGATCGTACCACCAGAAACAGTATGCAGTCAAATCAATAATTGCAAACAGTATGAAATTAAATCAAATCCTTGAATCTTATTTAATAACCAGATTCATTGACGTTCTACATGGTATTTTTGACATTGTAATAAAAACGTAAACGTTCACAAACTTTAGGGGAGTTTTAAATAGAAATTGTTCACTTACGATCGTGTCTCCGTTTGAATCTTTATACCACATTTCGTCTCCGCTAGAGTTGCCGTACGACACGCTATATGACGTCACCCAGTTGTTAGCTGCAGCTGATTGCCGTCCCTGGGTCCTGATGACGCCGACGGATGACCTCTGGCCAAGGTCAAACATCAGCCACTGATTGGCGTTACTTTGGGCGGCTGCCCACGCTCCGGCAAGCGTATTGGTAACTTCCTTGAAGTTCAGACGCGCGTTGGTTGGTGCGTGGTCCCCGGACCCCCACTCCGATGAGGCAGTAATGGTAGCTATTGCAACAGGAAAACAAGGAGAAACAATTAAAATGTATTATAAACAGCGAAACCTACGCAAGTTGCCCTACCGGCGGAAAATTCATCCTACGCCTATACCTTGCCAATCGCGACACTCCAACCCAAATTCCTACAAGGCATCTCACGACGACTGCCACAGATATTCCTTTCTTTTTCACAGACTGCCACGGATTGGAACATGCTTCCTAAGGTCATTACAGAAATAACAGAACCTGGCAACTTCATGAAAACCGTACTCTTGCACCTGAGGAAACAATAACGAACGCAGCGCACTCCCCCTCTGCTAGCCGGTATCAGGATATTTCGGCACCTGGACACTTCGGTACCTTGATACTTCGGCACCATCTAGGACGGTTCGGCACCTGGCCCAGAATGGCTCGGTACCATGCCCATGACAGTTCGGCACCTGGCCCAGAATAGTTCGGCACCCAGCCGCCAGGACGGTTCGGCACCTGGACAGCCCGATACATTATGTGTTTATTTCTGTTTTATTTCACCAGGGTTGCCCACAGTGTTTTTTCACTGCTTTCCAGTGGGGCCCTGGATACATACAGTCACATGTACAAAATAATCAGGATACAATAAATAATAATACTGATAATGATAATAACGAAAGCAATAACGTAATGAAAAAGTATCAATGACAATAATGATGATGAAAAAAATGGTAATGAATAATAATAATAAACAAATAATAACAAAGCATTAATAGGAGTTATTGTCCAGTCCGTCCAGGTCGTAATGAGAGGTCAGAGGTCTGCCCAGCTTTCACATTTTGATTTGAAAACAGACATGGACGTACAAGTCTTTCTAGATTGTGGCAGACGATTCCAGAGGTCAGCACCTCTGTATGAGAACTTGCGCTTTCCACATTCAAGGCGTGCTAATGGCAGTTTCAGGGATAGATTCAAACTGTGTCTAGTTGCATATCTATGTCATTCAGAAACCCTCTGAAAACTATTGATGTACTCTGATAGTTCATTATTAACTGCCTTGTACATGGATTGTAATTAATGCAAGTTTCTCCGGGATGCTAAAGTTTTCCAGCCCAAGGCAGCTAACTCGTCATCCCCAACATGATGTGTATATGGCAAGGCAAGAATAAGTCTGGCTGCCCGGTTCTGAAGTTTTTGTAGTTTATCAGACAAACACTTTCCACAGTTGCCCCATATCACATCGCAGTAGTCCATTTAAGTACTACCATATAAACAACATGACTAGGGTGCGTTGCGGCAGACATGGAATAAGACGCCGCAAGACACCGAGTCTGGACGAGACAGCATTACATAACTTATCAATGTGAACTTGCAAATTTAAGCTGGGGTCAAGCCAAACGCCAAGGTACTTATAGCTGGAAACTACTTCCAGAGTGGTGCCAGAAAGGGTAGTTGACAGTTGCTCTGTATCTGACTGCAACCTGCGCGTAGTGCCGAAGAGCATGGCTTTGCATTTGTTAACATTCATGTTTCAATATTACGAAGGTCGGCATTAAGAGCATTGTTTACATCCGTAACAGTCTTGGATGCGTAGAAAAGTGCAGTATCATCTGCGTATAGTACAGCATACCCATGTGATATGTAATCAGGCAAGTCATTGATGTACAGTATGAATAGAAGTGGCCCGAGCACCGAACCTTGGGGTACTCCAACAGTAATTTCCAGAAAATCACTCTGGACTCCATTTACGACTGTAGTCTGTAGTCGACCAGTCAGATAAGAGTGGAACCATGTCAGTTCCTTATCTTGCACCCCAAACATTCTAAGCTTAGCTAAAAGGATCATATGGCATACCGTATCAAAAGCTTTCTTGAGATCAAGAAAGATTGCTCCGGTAAGGAGACCCCTCTCCATTTGGTGAATGTGAAACAGTTCTATAACGTTCTACCTAACATATTGGATTACTTCCTCACGCATTTTTTTTTTACATAATAAGTCGCTGGAAGTCATGGGATGACTCAGCTAGTTTTAAGCAACCAACAGCGGCATTCTGTCTTCGTGGTGCCGAACCTTCCTAAGCTTGGTGCCGAAGTGTCCAGGTGCCGAAGTGTCCAGATGCCGAAGTGGCCAGGTGCCGAAGTGTCCGGATGCCGAAGTGGCCGACATCCCTGCTAGCCTCCGTGGGCGAATGTCAACCTTCTCTCGGTGGCAGCTTGTAGAATGGCAATCACTCGTGATCTTTATTTGCAATCGAGTACAAATTCATGTATGGATACAGATTCATGTACAGATATACAGATACAGACTTTCCGAGTAGGATTACCGTGCCAGCCCTTACACCTGAGTGAGGGTTACAGTTGACACGGTGGCCTTCGCATGAATTTGTTTAAGGTGGATAACAGGTTGCGAACCTGAGACCCACACACTTGGGCATCCGTCTTCCCCAGCGGATCCTTATCGAGGGAGACGTGCTGGTTCCGGCTGGGATGCTTGCAGCGAGCTGCCGGATGACTTGGTTACGCTCAAGGTTCGCATTGACTACGCCAGCCCGCCTGTCATAGCTCTCGTCCGCCAGCTGAAGACAACTGCCGTTGGAGACTTGTCCCTCTAATTAAGCGCCAACATACGTGTTAAGTGCCTTTCCCAAGGGCACAACGTCGGTGCGCATTTTCGGACATGCCCCTGTGCTCCGACCCGGAATCGAACCAGGGTCTCCTTGAATTGTTGAGCGCCGAACGCTCTGTCCACTACGCCACATGACGCCAAAAGTTACGTCTTAAAATTTCACGCCGCGTGTTAAAAACTTTAAAACGCTGTGATAGCAATGTTCTTTCTTCACAACCATTTTTTTTCACGAGCCGACGTTTCAATGACCGTCTGTCATCTTCATCAGGGTAATTCTTTATTTAAATTCTAAATTATTTACGGAAGTCTATAAAACGCTGTATTAAAATTTCAACCGGCCACTAGCCTGCATAGGAGGCTACCCTCTGCGTCTTTTACCCCAACATAGGGGTGTTATGTTGCACCGTATTTTCTCAAGATTAAAATCATCTGAATGGGAATTTTACCTATTCTCCCTGGTCTGTATATAGAAATGCGGTAACCACCGCCGCACATTTCTGCCGAGTTTCCGGAACACGGGCTGATACATTCGGAGTCAGGCCTTGTTGTTCCCAAGTTGGCGAAGTTGTTGTCAGTCCCGCAGTAGCACTCGCTTGCCACTTGCATGCCTAAAAATAAACACCCATGATAATTAACCCAAAATTTACTCTTAGGAAGAAACGTATTTATACTACAAGGCAAAAACGCAATGCAACACCAAAAAAATTGTAAAAAAAAACTATTTTATGTATTTGACATCAAAACACCTGCCACTGTGAGAAAATGGATGTGGCGAGTACGAGTGAATAACTGACTACATATACGTGTCTTTGGCCACAGCAAGTAAATTTAATGGATGGCATCCTCTCCAGACTCCAAATCTAATGCGAGCGGGCGAAAAAAAAACAAGGCGGGCCGAAAAAAAAAGGTTCCTACAGTTTAATTTTTTTTTTAAATCAGTGTACAGATGGTTTTGATTCAGTGGGAACATCACATATACACAGCCAGCATCACATATCAATGCATCAAAGTAAGAGTCTTTTTTTGTCTCCTTTCTTTATAGTTAATTGCCATCCACATTCTAGCATGGCAACAGACATCTTTGCCCATCTCCGGCATGTTGACCACTGTCAGAGAGGGCAACAAAATTTCATTTTTTTTCCAAAATCAGGCGAAAATTAATGCGCGCGCGGATGTCATCCATCAAAATTACTTGCTGTGGCCTTACCAAAGTAGATGTATCCGTTTTTCTTGCAGTGTAGCCCGCAGAACTTGATGCTGTTGTCGCTTGTCGAGACCGCTTCCCAGGGGAACACGCGGGTCTCACCGTCCTCGTAGCACCCCATGTACTCCGCTATGAACAAAAAATAAGTTAAACGTTAGCATTATCATTAACATTAACATTGCACCTCGGGCATATATGTTAACCATGATTAAAAAGCGTGTGGTCATCAGTGAATGTTGAAATTGACCCGCCAACGGCTAAAAAAAAAGAAACATGACTGAGTGTTAAAACAATTAGGAGACATACATGGCTAATCGGCAACGGCAGAAAATACAATATGCTTCCGGAATTCCCATTTGCAAAATTTGGGGGGAGGGCGGGATCTAAGTACTAGATAACAATACCTGCTCGAACGGTCCCCGTGTGCAGTAGTAGAAGTACCAGCGCCAACGGAACAGTGTAGCGTTCGGACATGGCGCGTGTGACGATCCTCCTGAAATTTACAAAAGATAGAAAATTTAGTATAACAATAGCCGTGAAAAAAAGGCCAATCTGCTTATGCAGTTACATTATTGCTATAAACATAGTACAGTAATCGCTATAAACATACATACAAAAGGAACCGTCCTGGGGCCATTGCTCTTTCTCTTGTGAGGTTATTTGCCGATGACTGTCTATTGTATGTAGAGCTTTCTACACAGACCGACTCACAACTTCTCCAAAAAGACCTGAACACCCTGGAAGAATGGCAAAGCAAATGGCTCATGCAGTTTAATCCCGAAAAATGCTACATTATGCACATAACAAACAAACGAACACCACATGCAACTAGCTACCAGTTTTGTGGTCAGGCTTTAGCAACCACAAAAATCCATCCGTATCTGGGCGTCACGCTGACAAGCGGACTGAAGTGGGGTGCACATGTTAATAATATCACAACTAAGGCGAAACAGACATTGGGAGTGATTAAACGTAATCTGTGGTCATGTCCAACGAGAGTAAAATCACTTGCATACACGTCACTTGTAAGACCGAACCTAGAATACGCTGCGACAGTATGGGATCCATATACAAAGAAAGACAAAGACAAATTGGAAAGGGTACAGAATCAAGCTGCAAGATTCTGTATGAACAACTATGTAAGAGGTGCTAGCGTCACGGAAATGAAAAGAAACCTACAGTGGACCTCACTTGAAGACAGAAGAAAGATGTCTAGACTATGCATGATGTACAAAATGACTAATAAACTGGTGGGGACGTCCCAACTACTATAAGTACCTAATACAAGCCCAGAAGAGAACAAGAAATAGCCACGCATTCAAGTACCAGAGTTATCAACCAAGGATTAAGGTGTTCAAGAATTCATTCTTTCCTAGAACTATCGCAGAGTGGAACTCACTGTCACCAAGTACAGTAGGGGCACTGTCAATAGATAGCTTTAAACAATGTCTAGAGCTAGAAGTTCAAGGGTTAGGTGTAACAAGTCGATCGGTGTAATATAGCCAGCTGCCGCCGCGCCGCGTGCCTGCGAAGCTGGTGGGTTACGCCGAAAGGCGGTTATACCGGCTACACAGATACAGATACATGTAGTATATATAAACATGAGTTCGACAATCTTATACCTCCATGACATGTCTTTTGCTTTCGTAAATCTTATGCATGGTGATGACCACCTGTAAATGGTTTACATATACAATCCTGCTCATTAGCAAAATTTTTATTTGCTAATAATTCACATAGCCTCTACCTAGTAGCATGCAACACACTGGTGAAATCCTTATCATTTGGCATGGACAACGTATGATGTTGTTGGTTATACAAATGTATGCAAGCACGACCTCTGAGATATCTTTGCCAACTCATGTTTGCCTTCCAAAGTGATTATACATTTTTCACTGCAAATATGCAAATTATATGAGGCCATTTACATATATTGTATCAGTTGATCATACTCTCCACCCAATGGCATGGTTATCTTAACAAATAAGGCTATTCTACCGTTTCCTCATAGATTATGCAAATTGTCCTGATTTTAATAAATTATGTTTAGTGATGTTAACCTTCACTGAACTTTTCAAGTATTAAATTCCCAGCAGTTACCACCATAAAATTGTACCAATTTGCCATTTAAAATGCAAATTTGATCTTCATTTACATAATCGACATCTGCCAATGATCTTGTCGTTCTCAATTACATATGTCTAAAGAGTTTTATAGCCCTAATATGAAATAAGCAAATCTATACAATTTCCTCTATAATTATGCAAATTAGATCCTGCTTTGCATCATTGAAATTTAATCATGTCAAACATGAATTAAGCTACTTACATACCAAAAATCATGACGATCCACCAAACGGTTGTTCATCAGTTATCCACCCTCGAAGATTTTCAAAGAAAGTCCACGTGACTCACGTGACTTCTTCCTGAGGACAAGAGCTACGTACCATCCAAAATTCAGGACCCTAGCATGTCTAGATCGCGAGATATCAAAACCGGAAGTTGCGCTGCAGTACCAAGGAAAGCCACTAGGGGGACCAAAATCTAATAATTTCCAGTTTTCGTCACACCCTACCAACGCATCGAGTATGAAACCGATCCATCCAGGCGTTCTTGAGTTATCTTGTTGACCAACTGACAGACGGACGGACAGACGGACAGATAAACGCAACTGAAAAAAATATAACCTCCATAACAAGTCATGGAGGTAAAAATCACAAGACGTGGTGACGGCACATTCAAGTTTTTTTTTTTTCAACCTATATTCATTAATGTTGCCCCCGCCAACATACATGGCCAATACAATACTCATTTTCAGCTGAGTGTCGTCTATCTAGAATGCCTTTCCGAAGGGAACATAGTCGACAACATGTCGGGACTCGAACCCGGTACCTCTTCGCCGTGTGGTGTAGCGGCAGTGCTCTCTCTCCAGTCCCCCCTTTTTTCTTCCTGATCATTGACACCATTTTGACAGAAATTGGTACGTTTAGGCCACCTTAGCAAACTATTCTGGTGAATTTCGAAGGTCCAGCTCATCCTAGACTCGGTAATGTATTGCCATTGCTTAGTTACAACATAAAAGGAAACATACATTACACAGCAAACCTCAACCCATTTCATTATCTGTCATTTCTCTATCCACATTAGTACATTTCCTTCCATGTGATCTTATCGTAGTACTGTCACGTCAGTTGCATCTGGTAAATGTATGTAACCAGAATTACCACATAAAAGGCGTAGAACTTTGTAACTGTTACCCTATGGTTGAAGTCTTTATCATAAAACTCGGTTACATGTATATTTCTATAGAGGACATACAGTTAGTACTTGATTGTAAATTGCATGATGTCGAACGTGACATACTATTTAGAACAATCCTCTTAGACACGCTTTTTAAAAGAAGAATAAAGAAGTATTCAGTCATCTCATGTCCACCAGAAAGGACCATACGATAGAAAAACTATGTAAATTTGTCTCCAATTGCTTTAAAAAGAGAGAAGAAATCTTCAGGGCCTACAATAGTTTATTCTATAGTAGTTGTTAAGACTTTTACGTTATTCTGTTATCCAGAATAACGGATAGTTGGCAGCAAGTTCCACCTACGGTAGTTCTAGAGGAACGAGTTTTTAAACACCTCAATCCTTGGTTGATAACTTTTGAATGTATGAGTATATCTTGTTCTTTCCTGAGCTTGAATTGGGTACTGGTAGTTGGTAAGTTTACCGTTCAGTTTCGCGTTTAGTCTGGATATTTTTCGTCCGCCATCCAGTGACACCCACAGCTGACTACCACATTCCCAGTAACCACACCGAGACGATTTAATTGCTATAATTATATATATAGTGGCCTGAGTCCGTTTTTGTAGGCTTTTGGCAGTGGACAGCAAGCTATTCTACTAACACTACTACTGTTAATGTTGTATGCACTAGCCTCCTTTGCAGACGTTCTGGGATCGGTCGTTTGCTTTTGGTGTGTGTGTGGGTGGGGGGGGTCTAAACAAACGTAGATCGCACGCAATAGAAGCTCCAACCGCCAACCTTTTTCTACTACATAGCTGTCCCTAAGCAGCTATGTGGGATTGATCAGACCCCCCCCACACACACACACAAAACACACAAAAAACGACCAATCTCGGAACGTCTGTAAAAGAAGGAGGCCCTACACATTTTATAGGGAGTTGCTTACTGTCGCTGGCTATATTTATTACCTTCGTAATGTAACGAGGGAATAAGGCTCGTGCAAGCTTCTGACGGACACCCCCAATTATCAAATGGCCGATGGCATCCTCTGTATTCGGTAAACAAACCGATGCTGCCATGGCAACATCGCACCTCAGCGAATTCCTTCCTTCAGGCTTTCGGAGTGAAGGTAAAAGGTCAGGAGATTGCAGGCGTGACTAAAAAGTTGACATCTGTGTCAAACCATTTTATCAACCTGGACAGTGCTGACTGCTTTTTAGATAACGCATTAAAGACCAATGGAAGAATATAGGAGAACCAAAACGTCCTTTTGTCCTTTAAAGACTTACTAAATATCATAACAATCTGCCCATAGTACACATGCAAACAGACAGATAGACCGGCACACACACACGCAAAAAACAATTTCTTAGTAAACGGAAGTAATGGATAACTCTCAACACTATACATAGCTATATAGCTTGGATACTTTCAAGAATATATGGACATTGTTTGGACAGTATCTTTGCTACAACCGATACGGATAGGTACCTGGTCCGTACTGCAACAGTCCATAAATATCTGCTTCATGGAGCGAAAAGACAATTGTGACCTATAGAACGAGCACTGAGACACGCGCCCAATCAAGACGCATAGAATCAATTCCCTAGAGGTTCTAAAAGTAATAAATCTCGTAAAAAAAAATTTGGTGGCGAAAAGACAGTGTCAAATCGGCCGGGCAGTATCCATTAACCAGAGAAGGTCGCCGGTCACCGTTTGGTGGGGGTAGCGACAAAAAACGGCCATATAATGTTATAGAAAGCTAACGATCATTCCTCCACAACCTCTGCTTGGAGACTAGTAGAAAAGGCAAACCACATACCGGTCACATCCAGAGGGTGTCCGTGGAATGAAGTTCAATGGTGCTTCTGTGCATCTATTGTCAGAGTAAATCCTGATGGTTGAACATTAGCTGTGACAGTATCGAGACAAACACGGTGTGAAAAGTGGGGTAAGGCTCACCGACCGGTCCGTCTAGTACTAGTATGCCGGGTGCGGTAATTTTGGGGTTCGTATCGTATCATCAACCCGGTCATTAATCTTAATTAGGACTTCTTGTCATGATGGGTACGTGCCAGATACTGAAGACGACACTGTTCCTGATATTTTCATTTATTTCTTCCTCAAACATACATTGACAGGAAAATACACACATATACATGTCTGTATACCCTGAATTGCGTAGGTTTGTTACAAAACTTTGTGCATACTCTATGTGCTGAATATCATCTGTGCATGAGACTGACAAAAATACATAACATAGTAACAAGCACTGAACAAGGATCCGAGCTCACAGGCTGATGGTTAGGCTAGGAAATAGAGTTATCATAGAGTCTAACTGCAGTGCGCAGGAAGACTGTTTCATCCGTTCAGTTCTGGCCTTGGAAAGAGTGAACGCATTCTGGATTTCGAAAAAGCCTTTTATTCGGTTCACTGGAAGTTCATGCTGAAAACTCTGGATAAGTTTGGTTTCGGACCCACATTTACTGTATTAGTTAATACAATGTATACTGATATAGAAAGCAGCATCATGAATGCAGGATGGAAATCTGCTTATTTTAAGCTGCAAAGAGGCATCAGACAGGGGTGCCCTCTATCCGCCCTATTATTTAATCTTGTGGTTGAAGTTCTTGCAACCAAAATCAGACAAACTGACACTGTTAAAGGCATTAAGGTTGAGACTATTGATAACATATCCGAAATAAAGATAAGCCAAGTGGCAGACGACACTAAAAAAAAAAGAGTGAACGCATTATTGTTCCTCAGTTGCGGGCCAGTGGCTGTGCATCTTTGAGGAGGCACACGATTCACACGATTCACACACGGGTCCCAGGTGGTACATTTCACATATACATGTATGTTTAAACGTTAGGTGGTTTTTATATGTAAAGCTATAGGTAGCAATTCAAAAAGGGGCCGGCGCGTTTTCGACCTGTTTTTTGGCACTGCCGTACGTGACCTAGAAGGCGACTGGCAGGGTTTTCGACTGCTGCTGGCCTATTTTTGGCCCCGCGAGGTCGCCGAATTGATTTTAACTCAAAAGTAAAAATCACCCCGGGTCCCGGCGGGAAAAGTAAGCCGTGACGAAGCCGTAATCTCACCAGACCAAGCCGGCCTCCGGGTCTCGCCAGGTGGCACCTGTCCAAGAAAATGACGTCAGGAGTGCTGATTTGTGCTTTAAATGTTCAGAAGAAGGTGGTTATAGAGGGGGTTGCTATGTTCTCGACATAGCTCCATCATCAGTTAGTCGCAGTGACGGGTCAACCGGAGACGAATCCACCATAACAGCCAGTGGCGTACCAGCCCGGGACCCTGTAGGTGCCCGGCCAGAATGCAAGACCCGGTCGGCACCCTGCCGCATCCCACACGGGTCAAGACGGGAGACTAACCGGGCATCGGTCGAGTCCATAACAGAAACCGGCCGTCAAAGGGACCAAATTTTTGTGAATTTGAAATAGAAGCCGCCTCAGCACCCCCACAGGGTAACGTAAAGGAACATTTAATTGTGACCCTGACAGCCGGCGCACGCTCGGCTTCTACACCGGGAATATGCCGAGCAGGCCCCGTTTCAAATGTGACTCCAGCTTTAACGAGCTTGACCTTGATTTTTTTTTTCGTATATACGATGAAACTAGCCAAGATGTGAAACCTGGCCAAATTCTATTCCACAAATTCAAACTGGTTGCTGAGATTTCGGCAACTTTGTACTTCGGCACTTGTCGTAGGGCTAGGTCCCGTACAAGGCCCTAATGACGGGCCATTCTATGGTCTTCTTATCGGGTCAAATTTACTGTTCCGGCCGACTTTTTTCATGCTAGTTGGTATCATTGATGTATTCTCACACCTTTTGAATGATTTGTAGTTAGTGTAAGCCATTTTTACGACAGAAAAATGGGGGGGGGGGTACGCGTTCTCGGGCCAGTGGCAAACTCCCATAGTAAAGCATAGGGGACGGTCCTAGTGACGGCAGTCTGACGGTGAAACAAACTGTTGTATTTTATTGGAACCGACGTCAGTATCAGATACCCCAAGCAAATTTGACCGAATATGACGCAGTTGCCGATTCCCGTGGGGGTTAAAGGTAGCAGGACACAGTTTCCGGCCTATGGGGATTTCTATAGTTAACAACCCCAAAGTGACCTACTTCGACGTGGTAAAAAAATATAGTAGAGTGTAAAAGTTAGGTACAGAGCTTGAATATGTTTGAGTTCAAGGTATAATGTACAAAATATGTGAAAATGGGCTAAAGTTTGTCGGCTCGTTCGCTCGTGACGCAACCTTTTAAAAGCACTATGCGGAAGGTCATGGAACTGCAGCAAGCGCACAACTGCACTAGGCTGTGACAGTATCAAGGCGCAAATCTACGCTAACCGAACAAAGATCAAATTTCAACTTTTACAGTCTCAAACCTGACGTATTCCCCTACCTTGTACCACAGTACCCGCCTCGCTGGCATAAACACAAGAATCTCTGCGCCTGTCCCAAGTATATGCCGACCTACTTTGTGCCCGCACTACTTTTGACTACGGGGTTTGCCCATTAATACTGTGTACTGCGACCTTAAAGAGGTCGTAGATAGAAGCGTCCCCTATCGAAAAGTAGGATACTGCAAGTATCGTTTACCAGATATAGAATAGTGTAAGATGATTTGTACTTATATTAACGGCATTTGAAAAATAAAACAATAATCAAAGTTGTTTGGATAGAATCCATCTAAAATTCCCTTTAGAGTTCTTGAAAATTCTTCATTTATGTGCTCGTTAGCCAAGTTGGAACTCATCTGTAAGTAACAACTAATCTTCGGAGTAGCCCTGAGTGCATTCACACAACACGACAGTATATACTGCACAGTCCTTTATTCTTCATTTTTAATTTTAAGAGTCATTGCACGAGAAAACCAGGCAATGGCCGGAACATGGGGGTCAGCCAAATCCGCTCATATTTTGTATGTGGGATAGGTATGGGGAAGTATTAACAGCCATATGATTAAAACTCCCTGGGTGTGTTTTGTATCAGAGTTCTGGAGACCCCCTTGGAGACCCTCAAAATCCTCCATATTTCTTATCAAAATTATGAAAATTTCGATCGCTGCCCCGCAATTTCTATCAGAGAAAACAATATTGCTGTTTGATTTCCATATATACCTATGTCTTACGTCTTTCATAACAAAATTTGGGACTTGGGCATTGATGTTTAAAGGGTGTACATGGGGGTTGAAAGAACCATTAAAAGCAGAATTTTGGCTTCTTTAAATTTTAGTCATTTTTATGAGGCAATAACTCCGACTCACAGTGGCTTTGATGAACAGTTTTACTTTTGCTGGATAGAGGAACATCTACTTAGTAAAAAACAATTGTCATTTCCGTGGGACACACATACTGGGAGTCGTGGGAGGAGGGTCTTTTGGGGGATTTTTAGTTTTTTTTAAATGGTTAAAGAAGCAATGGCATGTGATTGCACAGAGAGATTTAGCCGGATCTTTACCCAACTGAATAAAAACTATGTAGATGCAATATGAATACTACTACAATGCAAAGAAAGTCATGTGGGCTCTACATGGGGAATTTGGGGATGCTTGAAATAGAATTATGTTCAATTTGTACATATTTTTTCCCAATTGTCAATACTATTTTTTGCTGGATTAATTATTGAAATACAGTGGCATTAATAGCTTTTATCTAGGAAGGCCTCGATGATCAGAGGCTCTGTATGGGGGTTAGGAGGACACTAGTCATGTAACATGCTTTGATAGCTGGGCGGTGAAAGCTTAGAAACACGTTTAGACAGTTTACACCTAAAATGCTTTATTTAATCTGTTCATCGGCTAAAAGGTAAGCTATTGCATTACACTGTACATAAAATATGCCATTTACAATAAAAAGGATTCCATATTGGGGGTAATAAAACACCATGATGATATTCCATGACGTATTTAAAGACTGTAAAAACTGTTTAAAATCAAGTACTTCAACTGGTCAATAAGAAGTATATATGACGATAAGAATATAATAACTACTTTTAAGAGACAAAAACGGGCTCTGCATGGGAGTCATAGATATTCTTAAGATAGCACATAGATTAGTTGTACATGATTTCATCTACTTTCCCCTTCTCATACAAATTCCTTGTTAAATCCAGTTGCACATCAATAATGCAATCCATAACGTTAACATTAAAGCAAACCTGTGTTAGTAGGGCAGCGACACTCAATACTTTTTAGGACCTAAATGCCTTGTTCACCTAAAACTTTCTCATTTTTATAACAAAAGAATAAAATCACCCCATTTCTAGACAACAAAAGATACTTGAACGCTAATGACATAAAGATTCAGTTGATAAACAAGACAACAAGTTTAAAATGCCATTTTGGCATTCACGATATACATATAACTGCTGTTAGAGCCTTAGTTCTTAAAATACATACACTTTAGTACGTCATAGAGCACCAAGAACATACATAAACTAGTATACACATGGACAGGACTGAACAATGCTTTCCAATGGTCCTACAGTATGTATGAGGCTTTCCTTGACACTGTACCTGTCACAGGCAGATGGAAATGTTCTTTGATATTTCGCAGTTCTTTCAGCTTGAATGTTTTGAGACCCCTTGTCTTTGCAGCCTCACATATTTATGCTTTCAAACATAAGAGGATGGCTGTAGGCAATGCAGCCTCGCAAAGTAACTACTGATCTGCTTTGCGCTCCTCAATTCGCTAGGCTCGAACAACAGCTCCCCATCTTCACCTCGTGCATACTGCACTTGTGATGCGTCTGCTTTCTGACCAGACGTGGCCCCATGGTTAAAGATGTCAGTTAGGTACTAGTATGTCTTTACTTTCTCTGACATTCTCTGGCCTCTTTTGACTTTTCGGATTGCCCAGCCTTCACTGATTGACCGATTTAAGGGGGTTCCTGCGATGTCAGATTCTTCTCCAGCCTGCTGTGTACTAACTGGCCATGAGCTATTCCAGTGATAGCCTGAGCCCATTGCTTACGTATCCTATCATATGTGGATTCCCGCTCGAGTTCCTTAGAATGTTTTCCGACATCCAAGTGTTTGTCCAGCTCACTGGTTCATTCGAACGTTGCCACACAGCCTGACTTAGGGCAATAGAAAATGGACTTTGCACCTTCACCCGACCCAGAATGCTCCCCGCCTATAGCCATTTGAGCCACAGCTATCCTGCAACCCTTGACTCCGCCATGTGATTCTAGAGCCTCCTTCATTTCTTTGGCAGTCGAGACATTGTGTTTCTCATTTACATAACGTCTTATGTGGGACTTCATGGTTGCGATTTTTCTGTCGCAGATATTCTTGCCTGCCTGTGGGTCGGAGAAGTCATAACGCAAGACGGTGATACCAGTTCTGCGACCAATCGTGGGTAGGGAGAACAGAAGTGGGGCACAGTGGTAACAGCCTGCGTTGTAAGACCTTAGGAATACCTTTGTGAATGCTGCTTTCTCGGCCTTGATATTGTGAAAAACATTTTCCAGTATATATGACACTGAGCTCCAGTCCTGTCGGCAATTGTCGACGACGTGAACAAAACACTCTACAGCATGTTCTCCATCACGTTCCTTGGTTATCACTGCTGTCACGTGCCAGCTCTTACCGCGTTTGCCAAAAAAGTTTTCCCAGAAAAGTATAAATTGGAACTTGGAAGGAATAGAATGGTGTAATCTGTCTTACGTTCTTGCTAAACTTTCAGTGCCCAGCTATCAAAGCATGTTACATGACTAGTGTCCTCCTAACCCCCATACAGAGCCTCTGATCATTGAGGACTTCCTAGATAATAGCTATTAATGCCACTGTATTTCAATAATTAATCCAGCAAAAAATAGTATCGACAATTGGGAAAAAATATGTACAAATTGAACATAATTCTATTTCAAACATCCCCAAATTCCCCATGCAGAGCCCACATGACTTTCTTTGCATTGTAGTAGTATTCATATTGCATCTGCATAGTTTTTATTCAGTTGGGTAAAGATCCGGCTAAATCTCTCTGTGCAATCACATGCCATTGCTTCTTTAACCATTTAAAAAAAACACGAAAAATCCCCCAAAAGACCCTCCTCCCACGACTCCCAGTATGTGTGTCCCACGGAAATGACAATTGTTTTTTACTAAGTAGACGTTCCTCTATCCAGCAAAAGTAAAACTGTTCACCAAAGCCACTGTGAGTCGGAGTTATTGCCTCATAAAAATGACTAAAATTTAAAGATGCCAAAATTCTGCTTTTAATGGTTCTTTCAACCCCCATGTACACCCTTTAAACATCAATGCCCAAGTCCCAAATTTTGTTATGAAAGACTTAAGACATAGGTATATATGGAAATCAAACAGCAATATTGTTTTCTCTGATAGAAATTGCGGGGCAGCGATCGTAATTTTCATAATTTTGATACGAAATATGGGGGATTTTGAGGGTCTCCAAGGGGGTCTCCAGAACTCTGATACAAAACACACCCAGGGAGTTTTAATCATATGGCTGTTAATACTTCCCTATACCTATCCCACATACAAAATATGAGCGGATTTGGCTGACCCCCATGTTCCGGGTTTTGGTGATGTTTGCCTGGTTTTCTCATGCAATGACTCTTAACATCTTTTGAGAGTCACTTTGCGCATACAACAGTACAGAATATTTTTTATGACAATTCAAGCTTCTATTTTCATACTTGTAGTGTTTTCGGTAGCATGATTACGCTAATAGAGATCTTCTTTCGTCAAATACCCACCGGGTAACCTAGCTGAGGCGGTCGGGCGAGAAAGACCTGCAGCCCCGAGGAAAACCCGCCCCTGCTACGATAGGACTGAATACCACGCTAGGCATGCAGTGGTTGTGTATACCTCTAAAAGCGCCTTTGGGTATGAAATTCCACGTTACTGCGAACAAAAGAAGAACCCATATTGCATGCCATCCTTCATTCTTGTCAAATTAGATGGCTCTTATCTTTGAATCAGTATGTGTTTTCGGGGGGGGGGGGGTAGCGTATTACATATTCGAGACCCCGTGCATAATAGTCTTAAACGTATTTTATTGATATCAGTCATTCTACGTAAACATTTATATTATAGTTCTAATATAGTATTGTTGTAATATATAGAGCCTTAGCTCTTACTCACGTTTTTTTATCCTCTCGACTACATTTGGTCACATCATGTTGTGCATTTAGCCCACTTGGGCAATAACATGCAATAATGATTCATATCAATATACAACATGCTAATACTAATTTACTCTTACACTGTATATAAAGTCACGAAACGCCCGCAAAAGTCACATTCATCACATCACTTTAACCCTATATATATAGACCGTGGGGGGGGGGGGGCTAAACGTGCCCGCGCCAACTTTGATGTCAATTTTGTATCAGTGGAATGTGAAAATCATTTTTGTTGCCATGGCAACGGGTTTCTGACGGGCATTTTTGGCTAAATTTTGTAATTTTCGTTTCAACAATAGAGTTTTCTGGGTTTTATGTCAAATTACACATGGTTTCTAATATTATTAATATCTCATATAATTTTATGTAAATTTCATCATTAAGTGTGCATAATTTATGCTAATTTGATGACGTCTTTGGCCGAAATCCAAGATGGCGGACAACATCATGAGATAAGGTATAAACACGTTATTTTCCTTAATATTTCATTATTACTTCCATTTCTTTTTACAAGAAAGGTTCATTTGAACGAATATATATTCTTTACAATCCACTTAGACAAACTGTATAAAGGTAGAACAAAGAAAGAGATATTCAGTCATCTCATGTCTCACCAGTAATGACCATACAATTAAAAAAAAAAACTATTTGAATTCATCTCCAATTGCTTAAAAAGAGAAAAGAAATCTTCAAGGCCTAGATTAGTTTACTCTCTAGTAGTTATTCAGACTTTTACGTTATTCTTGTATCATATTCATATTCATATTATTATTATATTCTTCGTCTGCACCGCTCTCATCTATCGACGATGCGGGCCTCCACAGCTTATTATATTAGTTACCATTACCAGATATACAGTCTACAGCGTTTTATTTGAGGAACGTTAATTTGCGTGTTTATGGACAGTTATTATGGGATAGTCAGCATATATCGAATAACTTAAATAATCAATTATGATAGAAATAGTAAAAACCAGTAATGCAAGGAAGGATTAATCAAGTTAACAGAATCATTGTTCTTCTAGAGGCTTCTTACTTCCTAAATACCTGCACTTCGTTGATACTGTTTCAGTCTCATATCATGTGACAACCCCTACATGCTATACATATTGATATATATATATATTAAAGACTGTATGGATATTAGAACTCCTCCAACGATTGTGTAAGTTGATATCTTTTGTATTAGTTAGGTTATGAAAATGTAGTTGATATGTACTTAGTTAAGTTAGTTGATGCCATACTTTGTACCCTCAGTACAACTGTTGGGCAATAAAAGTTATTATTATCAAGCTCATCGGCCCACAATTCTGTAATTACAGTTAAGCCGACAAGGTTGAAATTTTCACGGTGTTCATGTTTTTTGTGACGTCACACCACAAACATACGTCCCGCCTTCCCTTGTGTTCCTTCCTTTTTTTCAGCAACTTACTCAAAGATCCAGCGATCTCTAGCTTTCACCTTGCCGCAAACATAATCTAAGGAATGAGCCATCTTTCCAACATTTAAAAGTCGGCATAATTTATAACGGTTAATGAGATGGTGACGAATCTAACAGTGAATGGTTGAAACTGATGACGCGGATGAAATTGGACGTACCAAATCGTCTGTTTCCGCCATTTCCATCGCCTCGTAAGTAGAATCCATCACTGATATTCTTGATATTCCATTTATGTGTATTTTAGGAACGGTTTCAGCCGAAGGTCTGTCTCTCGTTTCGGCAATGTTTGTCACATGTGTCTGATTTACAGTGAAAAATTCCTCATCCGTGTTCTTCAGTACAAACTTTTTAAACAGATAAACGGCGTAGTCTTTGATTTTCTCGTTTTCTGACTTCCCACTGATCTCTTCCTCCACGATGACTTCTTGAAAAGCGTCGTCGAAAATGGCCAGAAACATCATGACCAGGACGTTGGGGAAAAACAAGACGAAGCAGAACAGCATCAGCGGTCCAAGGACGCCCCCTGCCGACTCTACCGAGTAGTAGTCCATTTTCCCGAGCATGACAGAAAACAAAGTCTGCATGGTTCCTATGAAAGTGCTGTACAGACTCAGCCTGGAGCCGAGAGCCAGAAACCCGAGCATACAAAACGCCATGAACAAAAAGCTAAACACAACTATGAAGCTGAGCAATGGTTTCAGTGCCTTTCTCGTTACTTTGGGTCCACGCGCGATTCTTTTGTTGAACCGGCACAGGTACAGCATCTTCAAACACGCCACACAGACCAGCCAGCCTAGAATGTACGTGTTGATTTTCTCCCAGCTTGCAGCTTGTTTGTACTTGTTGTATCTGTGGGGAGAAACAAAACAGGCGTCATTGAATATTCTAGAACAAAATAATCAAACGATAGGAGATGAAAAAGCAACATCAAACATCGCGTTGCATTATATTTGTAGTCCGTTTCGTAGTCACGTCACACGTAGCGAGTTGAGCATATTCTAGCATATTTTATTGTCTTCATTCTTTTTTTTTGTAAAAGTAGGTAAATCAAGTTGCCATACATTGTATCTTCCACAATTGTTGAATTGAGCCATAAAGTCCTTCTCCCAATTTGAAAAGCTCTTGTAATACGGTGTGAAACCTACGTACCGTTTGATACATAGTGTTGAAATACTTCAAATGTGTGTAGGGTCTTAATGTTGGTGAATGACATAAAGAAAGTTTTAATGCATAGGTAAAATTTCAATGTTTATCATATATTTTTTTTTATTCATCAAGACATCAAAACATAACAAGGACAGTTTGGCGCTGCACTCAAGTTTATAATCTATATTAACAGCGCCACACAATAAAAAGTACAATTAACATTTAAATATACACAGTTGACATATCTGTGCGCCGTAGTCTTACCACCATAAGACATTAAAAATGCTTAAAAAGTTATTTGAAAACTAAAATTACACGTTAACCTCCTATATCTCATTGGCGGAAACACATCCGCCAATCAGAGCTAGAAGGAGAATTTAGGCCCATAAATACAAGTAGTATTTGGACTTCTATATCTAATTGACTATTAGAAACAGTCAAGCAGAGCTAGAAGCGCTTGGTATCTCCAATGTAAATCTGAGTGAGTTGCATCGTTTTGAAGTTGTACATAGAGGGTAACAACGATATAGTTTATCATAGATTCACTGTTATATTTCACATCCTTACCTACGATCTCCACTGCTATCATCACCCTGGGTTCTAACTTTGTTGAAGCCGAGAATCAGGTAGGCGGTATAAAGGTGAACCCCGATTTCCGCCAGAGCCAACAGGGACAGCACGAGCTCCACTACACGCCAGAACATCTTGAAGTATTCCGTTCCCAGCGTCAGTATGCGGCGTACTGGAGAGGTTTGAGTAGAGTAATGTCAGTGTGTAACATAAAATGCAACCCTTGACGTGCCCTAAACTAAAGCAGTGTATAAAAACATTGGCCATAACCATAGCGAGCTATATTTTTTTTACTGTGTTGATCATCTTCATGGCATATTCAATGATGTTATTAGCGCGATAAATTCTGAAATGCAGGATATGTGCAGGATACATGCATATACTGCGGTACATAAGGACAGAACGACTTAGTTTATGGATGACATCCGCGCGCGCATTGATTTTCGCCTGTTCAAAAAAAAAAAAAGATCACGTCCTCCGAGGCTCTGGCCTGGCTCCAGGTCTACGTAGTCCATGGTAGTTTGTGACAATATGGAGTCAGACACCCAGCTGCAGGCTACCGAAGCTCCATATGCGACTCAAGAACTCAGTACATACCGGCTTGTCATATACATCGCTAAGTACTGCCGCAATTCCAAATAAAATTCACAATACCAGCTTTGTATTCCTATGGTTAAGTAGCATTTTTATTTTTGGCCGGATTTTTTTTATTCGCCCGCACACAAGAGTTTGGGGGTCTTCAGAGGATATCGTACATAAAACTAAGTCGGTGTGGCCTAATCAGAAAACCCCATGTGTGCATCTGTATCTGTATAACCGGTATAACTAGCCTTGAACGTAACACACAAGTTCAAGTCAAGTGCCCGACGTTTCCTTGATTTTTTCATGATAAGAAATATTTAATGTATAGTAACACAATTAGGTCCATCCTACCTTCTCTGAATGTAAGATACAGAGTAATAAGTAGAAAGAGTCCGTGACATCCAAGCGCAACGAAACCCCAGACTGTCGTGTACGGGTACAGCCGGACCACCATTATCTGAAAACATACACGATTTCTTTTTAAATAGAGTCAAAATTTAAACAAAAAGTGTCTAGTAGTACTAAGAAGATCAAAATAAGAAAGTTGCAGACGATATTCACCATCTTTATACAGATCTAAATGATTATATGATAGTCATAAAGCATCCGAACTGTTTTTTCATAGGCCCTGACATTTACATGGATTTATGATGATTCTTGTTTCCGTCATAAAAATAGAGATGTATCAAAGGTTTTCATATGCTGAAAATCACAATGTTGAAAGTGGTGGTAAAATCCCAAAACCTTACCTCGCCTTGAGTGTAGGTTTTCCCCAATGTGGTAAACTCAGCCAGCAACGTCAAAACCGCGAACAGGTTTGCGTTTGCATTGTACACGATTATCTCTATGAAAACTGCCCTCGTGTTGTCGTCTATCCAGTCCATTTCTTGCAGTTCATCTATCAATTCCATGTCGGCGCTGCTGCTGTTGGATAGTTCCACCAGGTAACCGCCGCCGTAGTAGGTGCCATGTTCGCCAGAGTCAGGAACAGCCGCTGAAAATGACAATAGGTCGGGGTGCTGTTTAGTATGAAACACTATCAAGGTCGATATGATATAATCAACGTGACGGTAGAAGCATCAAAATATAAAAGTGATAGTATAGTTAAAGCAAACAATTTGATCCGTGGATATTTTGATGATGATGACTTGTAACTCTTATATTTAAGTGTGCTTTTATGTAGGTCACAATTAGTTCGTGACGTTTTAGCAGTAACACCTAGCTCCAATGCACAGTGAACTAGGAACACCTAGCTTCAGGACACACTGAACCTGTAACACCATGCTTCAGTGCACACTGAATCAGTCACACCTAACTTCAGGACACACAGAACCAGTAAAACGTAGCTTTAGCACATACTAAACAAGCAGAGAGAGAATGGTCTATTCAGTATAAAAAAGCCTTTGCAGCAACAGTTCTGAATTGCGGTTTCTGTTCATAAATGTACACTGCACTGTGACACCTAGTGCTAGCTTCAGTGCACAGTGAACCAGTAACACCATGCTTCAGTGCACAGTGAACCAGTAACACCTAGCTTCAGTGCACAGTGAACCAGTAACACCTAGCTTCAGTGCACAGTGAACCAGTAACACCTAGCTTCAATAAACAGTGAACCAGTAACACCCAGCTTCAGTGCACAGTGAACCAGTAACACCCAGCTTCAGTGCACAGTGAACCAGTAACACCTAGCTTCAATAAACAGTGAACCAGTAACACCTAACTTCAGTGCACAGTGAGCCAGTAACACCTAGCTTCAATAAACAGTGAACCAGTAACACCTAGCTTCAGTGCACAGTGAACCAGAAACACCCAGCTTCAATAAACAGTGAACCAGTAACACCTAGCTTCAGTGCATAGTGAACCAGTAACACCTAGCTTCAATAAACAGTGAACCAGTAACACCAAGCTTCAGTGCACAGTGAGCCAGTAACACCTAGCTTCAATAAACAGTGAACCAGTAACACCTAGCTTCAGTGCACAGTGAACCAGTAACACCTAGCTTCAATAAACAGTGAACCAGTAACACCTAGCTTCAGTGCACAGTGAACCAGTAACACCTACCTTCAATAAACAGTGAACCAGTAACACCTAGCTTCAGTGCACAGTGAGCCAGTAACACCTAGCTTCAATAAACAGTGAACCAGTAACACCTAGCTTCAATAAACAGTAAACCAGTAACACCTAGCTTCAGTGCACAGTGAACCAGTAACACCTAGCTTCAAGTGAACCAGTAACACCTAGCTTCAATAAACAGTGAACCAGTAACACCTAGCTTCAGTGCACAGTGAGCCAGTAACACCTAGCTTCAGTGCACAGTGAGCCAGTAACACCTAGCTTCAGTGCACAGTGAACCAGTAACACCTAGCTTCAATAAACAGTGAACCAGTAACACCTAGCTTCAGTGCACAGTGAACCAGTAACACCTAGCTTCAGTACACACACTCAACCAGTAACACCTAGCTCCACTGCACAGTGAACCAGTAACACCTAGCTTCAGCGCACAGTGAACCAGTAACACCTAGCTTCAGTGCACAGTGAACCAGTAACACCATGCTTCAGTCCACACTAAACCAGTAACACCTAGCTTCAGTGCACGCTGAACTAGTATTAACGTCTACATGTAGCTTCAGTACAGACTGGACTAGTCAGGTCAAGATTCAGTGGACAGTGAACTAGGCTCTGTTGGAGATAACAGGATGATAGATGAATTCAGTTCTTACCACTCAATGATGCATACTGGTAGATCCACGGCCTCTGGTAGTAGGAAATGTTGTCCAAGCTGGTCAGTGCGTCAAAGGTCACGTTGTCCAGACGTGTCCAGCCGACGTCATAACTGCTGACGTCAGTATTCAGCAGGCTGTAAGGCTGATCACAGTCAGTCAGCACCCT